TGGCATAACAATATTTAGGTTGGCACAGGTGCATCAGGGGTACAAAGAGAAAATGTATAGAAATAGTTTCTAGAAATAGCTGTGAGGGGAATATGGTTGCCAACCTCCAGGTCTCACCTAAAGCTCCCACTATTCCAATTGAACTCCAGATGACCAAGACCAGATCACCTGGAGACAATGGCTGCTTTGGAGGGTGGGCTCTATGGCATTCTACCCTGCAGAGGTCCCTCCCCTCCCCAAACCCTGCCCTCCCCAGGCTCTACCCCCAAAATCTCCAGGTATTTCCCAACCCTAGAGGGGAGACAGGTATTCACAAGATCATCTGGAGATTTTTATTTCTAAAAAGGACCCTCCTTTCATTTCTTATTGTAGTAGATCATCTCCTTCTCTCCAAACCTCCAAAGATACAATTGGGGGTGGGGGGAGAACCATGCAAAGGATTCCAAGTAATATCTCCTATTGCCTCAGATCCCAGGTCTGAAATTTATGCGCAATTGGGCAATTAAGAACTGCTATTTGTGTCTTGAAATACCAACAAAGACCGTGTTCATACAACTGTGTTGCTGAACAGGTGGAGAAGAAATGGGAATGATTCCTCAGTCATTATCATTAACACTATTCAAATCCACATATCAGGATGCAAATTCAGTACCACATAATGGCTATTCTTCATATGGTCCCATTTGTACAGATCAAAAGCATGGAAAGGGGCAATTTTTTGGGGGGGGGGGTACTCAGTCAGATACGACAGTGTGTGCAGTAATTAGATTGTTGAGCTAGGATTTATGAGACCCAGGTTCAGATCCCCACTCTGCTGTGGGTGGGGTGACTTTAGGTCAGTCAGCCTAACCTAGCTCCAGGGGTGGGGGATGGGGTCAAGGCGAGTGGGCAGCTGCTTCTTGCTGTGGTGGAGGGAGGCAGGGAAAGGGTGTGTGCAAACAGAGGGGACTGCACGGGCACCCATAATCCTTGGGCTGTGCCTGCCTACCTCATAGGTGTCCGATTCCCCATGCATTCGAATAAATCCACGTTTGAAGAACAAAGTACAGTTTATTATAAAGCGATGATTAGATCAGAACACAAGCATCGTTAGGAATAACTACAAGCCTCATAGGGAAACATAATAAAGGAACTTTGAACCAGGTTAGGACCAATGAGTCCAATTCCCGCTGGCGGGAAGGCAGATAAAACAAGTGCCCAATTCCTTGGGAACACAATGGTTCTGCAACATAAACACAAGTTCAGTTCCCAGGCATGAGATACCTAATAAGCTAAGCAATGCCATAACTCCATCCCACCTCCAGCTGGTTGACCTTGAGCAGTTCCGCAGATGTAGCAAGCAAAAGACAGTAAACACCTACACAAGGAAAACACAGGGGGGATGGACAGGGCAGAATGTAACATACAGAAAAGAACACCTTATGGCAGCTTGCTGACAATAGGTTAGTAGGATAAAATGGAGAAGAGAATGATAAATGTTTTGGGTTCCCATTGGGGATAAAAGAGGGGTAAAAATGAAGCTAAAATAAAGTAATATCTAGAGCAGACAGTTAAGATTGTTTCAGTTCATAGAAAATACACAATTGAGTTTTAGAAATATAGCTGAAAATAGTCCTGGAGAAAAATTACCTGTCCCTTTAATAAAGGCATACAGTGTTTTCCTAAGAACAGTTACACCCTTCTAAGCCCGACATCAGTAGACTTAGAAGGGTGAAAGGCGATTTCTCACTAGAGCTGCCTCGCAGCACAGCGCCGTTTGCCCCGACACAAACATGTCAATTTCACACCCGAAGCTCCGGGGCTGCATTTTGACTCGGGGCTTCGCCCAGTTTCCTCCGCAGTTTCGTGATCCTGGTTTTTGAGGACAAATGCAGCCCCGCAGCCTCGGGTGTGAAATTGACATGTTTATGTTGGGGCAAACGGCGCTGTGCTGCGAGGCAGCTCTAGTGAGAAATCGCCCTCACTTTGCATTGCACTGTATACATGTGGAAATGGGCAGCTGAAGCTTTTCATGGCATCAAAATAAATAACATCACCCCATTAAGCTTCTATTAAAGGGACAGGACATTTTTCTTGGCCTGCTGGCAGCCCTGCTTTCATCCCATCTCACATTTCACAAACTTGTTGTAAGCTGCTGCACTCTCCAGTTGCTTAGTTGTGGGTTTCCAAATAGATTGTAGGAATAATAAAAGGGTGCATGATGAAGAGGGAGCATTGGCTTGTTTCTTGTGAACTCTTAATGAAAATGTTTGTTTTTTACATTCAAACAGAAATTCTTCAGGATTAACCGAGCCCTGTCTACTCCCATCGTTAAAGTGATACAGCAGCTAAATTAAACGAAAAAGTGCATTTCGGTTAATTAATGGTTCACAGTTCAAATATCACACATTTCAGCATCATATTTATCTATTCTTTCTAAATGAGATACACACCAATATTTGTTTATCTAAGTCAGCTTTCAAATGGGAGTGGGTGCTGATTTGGATCAGTGCTGGGGTGGGTGTTAACTTTCCCCCCACCCTAATGCTGAAATTAAGCTATTAGTTGGAAGATACAGTCATGGATCCTCATAAAAATATGTACTTTGGTCATAAGTCCCGTAGAAACCAGCAAGAAGGGGAGGGGATATACTTTGGGTAGTTATTATCAGGACTGTGTGTAATCTGCCCTAAAAACAAAAGAAAAAAAAGTTAATTCTGCAAGCATCATAGGTATGATGCAAATTAAATAAACTTGCTCGGTTTTGTATACTGACTGTGCTTTTCTGAGCCAGGAAATCAAGGCCCACTTCCTAACCAGTCCACTTCTGTACATAAAAACATTAAGAAGAGTCTGCTGGATCAGACCACTGGTCCATCTAGTTCAGTATACTGTTTCACTCATCAGCCAATGAGTTGCACTGGAGGGCCAAGTAAGAAGGCACAGAGGCCAAGGGACTCCTCTGATGCGGTGTCCCAGCATTGGTTTTCAGGTTTACTGCCTTTGCATATGGAGGCTCCCTTCCGTCACTGTGGCTAGTAGCCTTTGATGGACTTCTCCTACATGGATCTGCCTAAACTCCTTTAAAACGATCTGTCCTTGTGGCCATCACTGCCTCCTCTGGCAGTGAGGTCCACATTTTAATCACAAGTTGAGAAAAGAAGTATTTCCTTTCGTCTGTTCTCTGAACCTTTTGGCAACAATTTCATCAGGTGTCCCGGAGTTCTACTATTATGGGAGAGCAAGAAAAAGCTCCCTTGCTCCACCCAATGAATATTTGTATAAAGCTCTATCATATTAATGGCTTGATAAAATGTTGTTACTTTGATTTAATTGTATAGTTATTTTGTTTTAATTGTAAGTTGCTTCAGAGATGGCAGTTTGGTGTAGTGGTTAAGTACGCAGACTCTAATCTGAGAGAACTGGGTTTGATTCCCCACTCCTCCACATGCAGCCAGCTGGGTGACCTTGGGCAAGCCATAATTCTGGCATAGCTGTTCTTGAAAAAGAGCAGTTTCTGTCAGAGCTCTCTCAGCCCCACCTACCTCACAGGGTGTCTGTTGTAGGGAGGGGAAGGGAAAGGAGATTGTAAACTGCTCTGAGACTCCTTAGGGTAGTGAAGGGCGGGGTATAAATCCAAACTCCTCCTCCTCTTCTTCTTAATAATAAACAATGTCATGTCTCTCCTTGGTCCCAGATTCTCCAACCTTTTCTTACAGGAAAAGTGTTCCAGCCCCTTATCATCTTGGTTGTCCTCCTTTGTACTTTTTCCAGCTTTTGAGACTGGGGGTGCAGTCAGATGGTGTGCTGGGAGCAGTGTAAATTGCTCCGGTCCTATGCACTTTTTTTTAACCTGGAAGAATCGCGATCACACTCACATCCTTGTTCCGGATCACTGCGCAGCCACATCGCTCCCCGCCGTCCACACGGGTTTTTTCCCTCTCAGTTTGGGCATGTGCACAGGCGGCCATCTTTAGTATTGAAATTTTCACGAGTGCGCAGAACAGCGATTTCCCCTTCAACCCAACTGCCGAGACGCTTCCCTTTAAACATTAAAGGAACACTTCCCTTTACACTTTAACCCCAAAACTGGCCTCCCTGAGATCCTGAACTCATCTATACAGCAAAACTAGGCACCATTTAAACTTTGGTTTTATTAACGCCAGGGCGAAACTCCGCCCAAGTGCATATCGCCGACGCTTAAAAATTTAAAAAATGGTGGGTGAAAAGCAGAAGCCTCTGGCAGCTTTCGAGCGGGGAAGTGGCTCTACACCGGTGGAGGAGCCTAAATCCAGAGTGGTGGCAGCATCAGGGGACATCCCACCTGAGCCGTGACAATTGGTCACGTTATAAGAAGACAAGAGTCACCATAAAACATAATACTAGACAAGAGTCACCAGAAAAGACAATACTACTAGGAAAAGTTAACAGGAAAAGAGGAAGACCCAACATGAGATGGGTTGACTCAATGAAGGAAGCCCTCGATCTTCAAGACCTGAGCAAAGCTGTTAATGACAGGACGTTTTGGAGGACATTGCTTCATAGGATTGCCATTAAGTCAGAAGCAACTTGCTGGCACTTCACACACACACACACACAATATTATTTCCATTCTTAATTTGGGTAACTAAGCAAGCAATTTCTCCAGAAATATTCAATGGTTGAAATGATACTTGATGATGAAAACTCCCCCAGAATATAGTCCCAGCACTGATTCCCATGTTAAAGCGAAACCTGAAATTTAAGTGTACTTTTCCAACATGTGCCTGTCTTCTTTACCTTCTTCTGCCCATGAATAAGTTGTTTGTTCTCATTTAAATCAATGGGATTTTTGTCTCCAGAGTTTGCCTAGAGTTGGCTCAAGCCCCGAATGTACATCGAAGTAATTAAAAAAATATATATGCTCCTGTGCTAAGTGTGGAAGAAGTCTGTATACAATGGATCAGTTCCAGCTATGTCTCCCTATTTATCTTTTTTCCTGTTTGGTAGCTGCTATATAAACACAAGCTATATCTGTATAGGTTGCATTCATGGCTTCGATGGCAACCCACTTCAGTAATCAGAACAGTGGAATAATCTTCAGCAGTGTTGAAACGAACATTGGGAATTTTTTTGATGTAATGACTGGTCGATTCGGAGCACCAGTAAATGGTAAGTAAAAGGAACACAAATTCTATAGAGATATGAATTATTCCTGTAACACTGGCTCCAATAAGGCCGTCACATGCACACTGACTAGGGGGTGCTTCCTAGTACCCAGTAGGTATTATTTCTGAGCAAATATGCATAAGATGCATAATGAATAATGCATATAATAAAAATATACGAGTTGTGATATTTTCTTCAAAGTGGTAGTAGCTTAAAGGTAACCCAAATTCTGTATTCATAATACATTGTTTAAAATTGCATATATACACTTATATACACTTTAATTTTTTTAAAAAAAACCACTTGGGGTTTCAGAGACTTCAGGCCATTTGAGCAAAAATCAGGGGCGTAAGGATGCATTAGTAGGTAAAGAACCAAAATAAGTTTTACATCATCTTGTTTAGCATGAATACACTTTTAGGTGCTTCAGTGACTTATGGGAATGGCTCCTGTGACTTCAAAACGGAATATGGGTATGTGTGATTTTCAGTTAACAGTGGAGTATATGGCATTGCTGGTGCAATCCTATGTTTGTTTGCTATACTTATACTCCTCCTTTCTCACTGAGACTCAAAGCAGACTACGCAGTATAATTCATTCAATATGATGGGACATCTAATAAGCAATGTACTAAAACTAGGATTACAGAAATCTGAACAAGCATAGAATATTAGTTGTGATATGGAATGCAGATACAATACAGAATAATGGTATCACAGCAGCAGGAAATAATGCAGTGACAGCAAGATAATACATACAGCAAATAGATAATTAAGTCCTATACACAGTGATATAGTCTGCACGCAGTCCCTTTCCCTTTATAAAGTGCCTTGCTGAACAATTCTGTTATAGCATAACCCTATTATCTTTATGGATATGCCTCCCGAATGATTCAGTTTTACGTAGTTTGCAGAATGGGAAGTCTTCTTTATCTCTTTGGGCATTCCATTCCACAAGGTGGGGATCACAACGGAGAATGAGTGTGTACAGTTGTTGATCTTGTCAGTTGGCAAGGTGGCACCCACAGAAGGCCCTGAACAGATGAATGAAACTGTTGCAGTGGAATGTTACAGTACAGGTGGTCCTGATGTTATGACCGTCCAAGACCATGAAGGGCTTTTCATATGATAGCCAGTGCCTTGAGCTGGGCCTGGTAGCTGATGGGGAGCCAATTGAACACCTGCAGAGTGGGTATAATATGCATGTTCCACCTGCCTTCTGATAATAATTGAGCCGCAGCATTCTGTACCAACTGGTGTGTCCCAGTTGACTTTAAGGGCAGACCTATGTAGAGTGCATTATAATTGTCTAATCTTGATGCTACTGTGGCATGGATCCAGATAGCTAGATCAGGTTGATCCAGGTAGGGGGCATCAGTCTTTCCATCTAACTGACTTGTGATTCAGGTTGTAAAAAAGACAGGAGGGTCCTCAGAATTTCAGGCAGAGAATTGTCCCGTCCCATCTCTTTTCTATGCAGAACTTTAATAAATGATATGATCACTTTGCAGGGGTGTATTTTTTCACCTTCAATATGATGAAGCATGAAGATGTGGAGGAAGTGTATGTTTACTTAATGCACAATGGCAATACAGTTTTCAGTCTATATAGGTATGTTGATGGGTATTACGTGTTAATTTATAAACCATTTTTAAAAGGCAGGCCTGCATATCAGTAAATCTGGCAGTGGCCCCCAAAGGCCTGATGTTTCTCTGCTGCAAAGCAGCACCAGGAGGGGCTAATTTGCAGGGATATATTAGTGGAGAAAGGCAGAGGACTTAATCCTTCTGCTACCCACCATATTTCCTGTAAGGCATAGTCCCAGACCCATGTTTCTGCTGGGACATATTCACGTCCCTTTATTCATTCATACTTCCCCCCCCCCTATCATTCAAAGAATTGTTCCGAAGGAGGTCCTGTTGAATAGATTAATTTTATTAATTTGGTCGTTATTGATTGGCGGACCTCCTGTTGGCCCCTAGGTTTGGGCCACCATGTATGACGCAGAGTGATGGACTGGAGGGGCCCTGGGCCTGATCCAACATGGCTTCTCTTAGGTTCTTGTGTCTGGAGCAATGGATGCTCTTGTCCTCTTGGTGCTTGGGGGGGCAACAGTGGGAGGGGCTTCTGGAGTTCTGGCCTTTCTGATGGACCTCCTGATGGCCCCTGGTATTTTTGGCCACTGTGTGACACAGAGTGTTGGACTGGATGGGCCATTGGCCTGATCCAACATGGCTTCCCTTATGTTCTTATGTTCTTATGCTGGGGGACATTTGCAGGATCTTAGGTACAGGAACTGTAAGATGTTTGCTTGATTTTTTCTAATATCTTTGTTTTTAGCTATGAGTCAAAAGGGAAAATGGACACATCGAGCAACAGTGCAGTCCTTAAACTTGCCAAGGGAGATGAAGTTTGGCTGCGGATGGGCAATGGAGCACTGCATGGAGACCATCAACGCTTTTCCACTTTCGCGGGGTTTCTTCTTTTTGAAACAAAATAGATGAGACCTTAAACGTTGAGATATTTTTCCTTTGCTGTTCTTCCTTGTGCTGTGAAATGGCAACATACTAAAATTGTGCGGCCTTGTTCTAATCCCATTAGTTACTATGTAGTGTTAGGCATGAATGGATATACGTCTCTTCTGTGCCATTTCGGTCCATACTATCTTTCTATAGTCCACATACTAGTCCTTCAGTGCAGACACTAAAATGCAATTCCGGGAAATGCAATGGTACGATTATTACTGCATTTTGCTCAGTTCAGAGATCTCCATGAGACCACCTGCAATGCAGACCTTCATTCAGTTGAACGGGGAAGTCATTGTGTGGAGATCTCAGGAACATACCTGCTTTGGAGCACTGCATACACAGAACGAATTCAGGTGCGCATCCACAGGCAGCCTGTATGTGGGATATCACATTCTACATGGCAATCTAGATCTGGGTTGCCAGAAAGCCTGGAGAAACATGTCCTGTCCCTTTAACAGAGGCTTAATGGTATTTTTTTTAAAAAAACAGGTGACTTGTTTACTTCTTGGCCATGAAAAGCTTCTGCTGCCCATTTCTACACATTAAAGAAGAAGAAGAGAAGAGATTGGATTTATACCCCGCCCATCACTACCCAAAGGTGTCCCAGAGCGGCTTACAAACACCTTTCCCTTCCCCTCCCCACAATAGACACCCTGTGAGCAATGTTCCCTCTAAGCTGTGGAGTCTTTTGAGCAAAAATTCTACTTTGTGAGCTGCTGGCATTAAAGTTTTGAGCCAGTGATTTGGCTGCTGCAGAAATCAGTTTGCTCTGGAGCCATCTTTCCTGAGCCAAGACAAAAACGTGTGAGCCGGAGACTAAAAACCTGTGAGCTAGCTCACACTAACTCAGCTTAGAGGGAACACTGCCTGTGAGGTGGGTGGGGCTGAGAGAGCTCTGACAGAAACTGCTCTTTTTCAAGGACAGCTCTTATCAGAACTACGGCTTGCCCAAGGTCATCCAGCCAGGTGCAAGTGGAGGAGTGGGGAATCAAACCCGGTTCTCCCAGATTAGAGTCCGCACACTTAACCGCTACACCAAACTGGCTCTCCCTACACCAAAGGGACATGACACTCTTCTCCAGGCCGGCTGCTAAGCATCTACATATGGAAACTGCTTCCTTACTGGATTAGAGTGAATATGTCCAAGATTGGAATTGAAATTAACAAATAATCTTAGATTTTTTTTCTCTTGAATTTATTCATGACTATGACCATAATAGCTATTGGAACAGGCCAAACAATGTAAAACATTACCTCTGCCTTGTATAATTAATTGCTAACCTGTGCACAAAGCTTCATTTTAGGAAGAATAATAGGTTAGATTTTTTTTCCTGTTTATATTAATCATTGATAAAGTATTGATATTAATTCTCTGGCTAATCTTCCATTAGGGTAGGGTGAATCACTGTCGTTAAAGTGATTTAGTTCTGTTGAAATTATTTGATTTAAAGTGGTTTAATTCAATACGTTGCCTTAATAGTTGTGGATTGGAAAGTACACCTTTTTTAATGTTGGCTTTCACTGAATTCCAAACTTGGTGTATTCAGTTCGTATATTCATCGGCTTATACATGCACACAAACGCATGGTCTTAAAGGTGCCACTGGACTCAAACTTTGTTCAGTTGCTTCAGACCAACATGGCTACCCACCTGAATTTATCTTAGTTTGTTGTGATGTGCACTTTAACAAATGGGTGTTGTTTCTTGCCCACAAGGCTTCACAAATCAGGAAGCCTTTTTTGTGCATGATGAGAGAAGAAAGGAATGCACATGTTCAAGAATGGACAAGGCTCATTATCATACAAGAAAACCTAAGTTTGTTCATGACAACTGAATGCAGCCTTTGTTTAAATTGCACAAAACAAAATATGCACACATATTAGCAACATTTTGGCATTTTAAAAAGAACATAATAGAATCAGAGTTATCATTAGTGCCAATTAACAGTATTCTGACCCTAGCTTTTTTTAGTATGCATCTAGTTAGTATTTGTTGTCACAAATGTTTTTGTAAAATATCTGGTTGTTTTGTACACTGAATAGTAAAGATGGTTTTGGAAAAATTTCTTGCATCATTATAGAAGTACTACAGAGGTTTTGGAAGGGATTCCAAAAAACCAATCAAGAAAGCCCCAATTAAAAGTCTATGTTGGATTTTATAAACACAAAAGAAAAGCTACGACGTGCTCAAATCCATGGGTCTAGGACATGATTCACAGAATGGCGTGTTCCAGCAGAGAACTGGAGAAGTACTAAAATGTGAATACATTCTTCAGTGCACGGGTTTATGGCCATGAACAGAGAATTCCAGTGGTCACACAGCATGCTGCATGTAACTTGCGCCTCTTCCAATGGGTTTTTTCCCCCTGCATGGGAAGCATGAAGCCCTTGACATGGTGGTTATTTAATTCCTTTAAACTGTAGGGAAAAAACTCATTCTCATCTGTTTCAAACGGGGATCTGCAGAGTAGCTGTGGGGCAGTGTCCGAGCGGACTGGACACCCCAACCAGTACGAAGAAAGGAGTCTGCTTTCAAAATGATAGGGGACAGCTCACTGCTCATAATTGGACTAAAAGCTCCCTCCTGGTTCCGTTTCCAAACTGCCAGGCAGGGTATAGCAGGCTGCAGGGCTTTGAAAATGCTGCCAGGAGGCAGCGGTGAGTCAGTTTCAAGGCACAGGAGTTGTGCCGAGAAGTGCCACTGTTTGGCCACAGAATGTTTCCAGGGGCCGAAGCCAAACTCTTCTCCCCCATTAGAACCATAATCAGGTCCAATTCTCAAGCTCTTAGATATTAGAAACAGGCTGGTTGCAGTGAATTGGAAAAGTGCAGCCTAGGAGAGTTTTTTCTGGGAATCACAATGTTAATATTAAGGTCACTGTTTCTCATTGTTAATCTTGCACAGACACACGCCTTTCTCCCTGCCCCAGTCCCTTGCTTGCTTGTGCTTTTTTACTTGAAATTAACAGATATTCTCACCGGGAAAACGCACACACACAAGCAAACTTTGCTTCTGATCTGACCCAATGCTGTACTTCTGTCTATATACATAACAATACCTTGAATAAAACTTTGTTGGTCTTAAAGGTGCCATTGGACTCAAACTTTATTCTGATGCTTCAGACCAACACGGCTAGCCTCCTAAATAAATATTACATTAGCACAGTGCAAAGGAAGCCTTTTCTCTTCATCTGGATGCAAGCTATTTCTGAGTAAATGTGCTTAGGATAGGAGCTACAATTCCTCAAAGAAATCTTCTTGCCCTCGCTTTTCTTCCTACACATGGTCAAGTATTCTTTCTCGAAAAAGAAGTTTGTGGTTCCATCCCATGCATGTGTCTTCCCGTAAGTAAATCTCACCGAGTTCAGGAAAGCACTTCCATTACATTACATTACATTTGCAATTTATATACCGCCCTATCCATGAGGCTCAGAACGGTTTACAGACACACAATTTCTTATCTAAGCTAGGAGTACAATGGTGAGGGGAGGGTATTTTTTCTTAACTAGGCACCTAACAGCCAGATCTTTCTTGGAATCAGTGGTGGATTCGATGGTGGTATTTTCCTCAGGGGCGAAGATGTCCAGTGTTGAAGTACGGATTCTCTGCAATAGCAGCTCCTTTCCAGCAGATGGCCCCCACAGAACATGAACGAGGCAGCTCGACTCTGTCCAATCGGCTCCAGTCTTCATTGCAACGTCATGCTCTCCAGGCACCGGTCTCCGTACTCGGGCTCGCCGCCATCTTTCACCTTTATCATCATTGATTCCACACCATTGCCGCTGCTTTTAACACCAATCACGGAGGAAAGGTGCCCCCCGCTCGTAAGGAGCAGGTACCCATTTACCTACTTGCCCGTACAGGCTTTCGGACTGCTGGGTGGGCGGGAGCTGGGACAAAGGGCTGGGAGCTCACCCTGGCCGCGGTGGGACGCGAACTGCCGTTGGCAGTTCGGCTAGATTAACTTGCAGGCTTTTTAACGCCATGCGCCACCACTCCTGGTAACTGCTTCCAAGTAACAGCGCATAAGATGGCACCCTTAGAGGACAGGAAGGAGGGAGGAAGAATTAAAGTGGTAGGTGGTGTTTCCCTCCCCACTCCCCACCAGCTGTATTGACAGACTCGATGACCCACTCAGGGCGTCAAATAGGCTAGGTATGCCACTGCATTGAACATACACATACCCTGCCCTGTCTGTATTCTCATGTGACCCTCAGGATTCTCCATCTACCTTGTTCTAATTTTTTTTTTTAATTTGGGGTGCATGGGTAATGCTGCATAGGAATAACACAACACTTTTTTAAAAAAAACCTTTAAAAAAAAAACTTCCACGCCCCCACTTTCTCCCCTATCTAAAAGGCAATCCAAGCAATCCATTGCTGCAAGGGACCAGTCATCCGGTCAGGAACAATGAAAAAGAGTAATTTACGAGCAATTGCACTGTTTCCATTTCATACACAAGAAACTGCTAGTGCTGCCCCATAGTGACCTGCCATGAAAGCATTGGTTTTTTTACAGGTTTTAAATAGAGTAAAGGTTTTTGTGGAAGGGCCGAGTTGTTTGTGGTCTGTGCCTGGACAGAAGCAGATGTCCTGTGGAAACATGGGGGTGGGGAAACAGCTTATGAGATGGGTGGATGAAATATAAAAAATCCTTGGTGTGAAAGCAGGCTACAATTTCTGAGCTGCAGCCACCACTTCTACCTCTTCCTTCTTCACATTACCTGGATGCCCTTTCTGTACCATCAGTCTAATAAAGGAACGGCCAGCTACCATTCTCAGCAAAATAAGAAGCTGGCAACGGGCCAGATTCTCAGTCTCCTTTCGAAAATTAAATTACCAGGGCTAAAAGCTGTCAAAGACTCTCTACAGGAGTAGGTTACATCACTCCCTGATTCTCCCTCCTTCTGGCACCTTAAATGTTTACATCTAAATAAGGTTGGGTGACTATGTGCTCCTACTTTAAATAAGAAATTAACAAAAAATAATAATAAGTGAAGCTAAAGAAAACATGCTGTAAGACTGCATTGCAAATGTTAAGGGCACAGAGGAGGCATGTGGATTCAACGTAAAGATAATATAAAGAGACAAATGAATGAACCCAGAAATTACCTAATAGTTGTACAAAAGCAAGATAATTGGTAACTATGGAAACAAACATTCACACAGGATATTATCCCTGAGGGGCCAATAACAGTATAATAAAGGATACACTGAACTTTAATAGGCACATGATGTTCTTTTTCACCCACGCAGTATTATAGATAATTAACATATATGCTCAGAAATACCAGTTTTAACATAGACCGCATGGGTTAAGTGCTGTCAGCTCTGCCTTTACGAGGCCACTCTGTTTTCAGAATTTCTCACTGTCCTGCTCCAGGGGTCACGGACCGGGCGGACCGCCCCCCGGACGAACCCACCAAGACCCCCACAGCTCACCTTATCCCCAGGAACGGAGCATGACATCCTGATGTGGGAAAGAGGGGGGGGGTGAGTCTCCCGTCAACGTTCCAGGCCGGTCGGGCACGGGAGCGAGAACGGGGTCCCCGAAGCGGCTGGCAAGAGGAGGGGCAGTGA